TCACGTCTCTTGCGCGGCAGGATGTTGGACTCATGAAAAATAATCACGTTGTTTGTATTCACCAAAACTGATTTACTGAAGTCAAAACAAGGACGGAATTGGCGTTAGTACGAGCGGCGCTTGCTGTGATGCGGGAGCGACCAGCCGGCAGAGGGTTCCGCAGCCTTCCTCGAACAGTTATGTTCACGATTTCTGATTTACTTAACGTATACTGCGTGAGGGGGGCTGTGATTGGATGATGACAGGTATCGCACCCCTCTACGCACACCTTGGCAATATAATCGCCATTGGCTAGTAAATTTTTTTGTTTACTCGCCAGACTGATATACTATTTTACACACACACACACACACACACACTTAGCTATCTAAATGGGGACATTACATAGACTTCTATTGTTTTTATATACAGATAGTTATACACTTTTTAACCTAAACCCACCCCTACCCCTAACAGAAAACTTTCTGCATTTTAAAATTATAAAATGAAAAAAAAACTTTGTTTACTTTATTTTTATAACAGTTTTACAAATGAGGACATCCACAAATTGAGGTTTTTGCCGATTTTGTCAGGTTTTGCTCACTTTTGGGTACAAATTTGTCCCCAAAATATGGTTAAGTAGGTACACACAAACACACACACACGGGTCGTGTTACTCTCTACACTGCACTCAACCTGAGGGATTCCTACACTTTCAGTCTTTGAGGAGACATGAAAAACAGCGCATACCGCAGGACCGGTATAACGAAAAAATATTAGTGGTTTTGAAACCGTGAAATTTTCAAATCGCGGTATACTGTGAAACCGGTAATCGGCCCATGCCTATCTGTGAGCGGCAAAAGTATGTTAATCTCTAGGATTAGCTGTTAATTTGAAGGTGAAATTAGAGTCCATCTGTTCAGAGGTGTTTTTAATCAGTGAGATGACTATCAGGTGTCAGTGTGTGCCCTGTTTTATTTAAAGAACTTCATAGGAGGAAACCCACCAACATCACAGAGTTTTCTGTACGAAGGAATGGGCTAAAATTCCTACAAGCCGTTGTGCAGGACTGATCAGCAGTTATAAGAAACGTTACTTGCAGTTATTGCTGCAAAAGGGGGTCACACCAGATACTGAAAGCAAAGATTCACATACTTTTGCCACAAATATTTAACACCTGATCATTTTTCTCGATAAATAAATGACAAAGTATATATTTTTGTCTCCTTTGTTTGATTGTATTCTCTTTGTCTACTTTCAGGATTTGTGTGAAAATCTAATTATGTATTGGGTCATTTTATGCAGAAATATAGAAAATTCTAAAGGGTTCACAAACTTTCAAGCAGCACTGTATGTGTGTGTACAAATATAAAAGCATCTGTATTTGACTGTAATTTGGGTTGCCAAAAATATGTGCTCATAAACACATTCAGTGACTAAACTGATAAAGCCACTTCAGTTTTTTATTGTTTTCTTAATGATAAAATAGGACATTGCGGTGCACGTTAGATGCACAACAGAACAGAAGCAGTGGAGCGTGTAACACAAGGACAGAGTTGGTGTGAAATAACTTCCATTCCTAATGGGAAGTTCTTGGTCTTTCATTGAGGGAGCACCAAAAGGTCATTAGGGTGGTGTCAATCTGTGACAAACCATAAAAATTAACTCACTTCACAGAAGTTCACCACAGAGAAATTTTACAATCTTTCCCTTGAACGTGGGAATGCGCCCCTTCTTGCTGAATGCAGCATTATGTGAAATAGCTGGCAAATTTTTGACAGTGTTTCTGTTCATGTGCTACATGCTGAATAAACCAGTGTGGATGTGATTGCTGTAAGGCCTCAGCTGTTGACTCAGAGGAGAAGCCCCTTGCCCCTTTTGGCAGAGTGGGGGATTGAGAGGCTGCTTGTGTGAGGTGGCCCAGAGACATGGACAGATTGCGATTGTAAGCACAGATTGAGGGATGGCTAGGCGTCGTGTCATGCACTGTGAAAGCCTCTTGAGTTGTCACACGTTTTTTTCTTTCTTTTTTTGATGATATCATTCCTGCTTTCTGAGATTAGACATTCACAGATCTGGAAATGAATGGTAACCTAAGGAACATGAATGAGTATTTATAAGTGATTTGGTATGCTGGTTTAGACTGTTGAATAATTTTCCCTTTTGTATAACGAATCTTTTTTTATATAATAAATTGCTGTTCTAAATTGAGTGAACTTAATATCCATTTCACGATTCTTAGGATGAAGTCTTAAGGCTTCTTTTTGTAATGTAGGACAAGAATACCATGACGTTTTTCCTCTGAGAGAGTGCCCCCCTAAGGCAGCACCATAATCTTATTAGTCTTTCAAGCATTGACAAAAATAATTTTATAAAGAATTATGGAAATTAGACAAATACAGTATGACGAAAATAGCAACACTCAGTTGTAAAGCATTTATTTAAACATATTTGCTGAGATTTCAGTTGACAGCACTTAATTCACATTAGCTCCAACAGGAAGTCATCTGTTCCATGGCTTGACTACACAAAATGCAGGCTGTCAGGTAATAAAACATTGCTTGCACTAGCAGTGTAAGTAATCCAGTATCAGAGATGATGCTAAGCCTTTCCACATCACATACTACCTGCCAGAGAGCCGGACAGCTTTGGTAGAGATGTAATATTTTATTTTAATGGAAGTTGCTTGAAGTGTGTGATGTGTCCTAAGGTCAGAAGTCACCTGGAATAAAATTGGAACACATACAGTGTAAAAAAAATTCACTTTTTCACCACTTTGTATGGTGTTGTGTTCAGCATATTGTGCTGCTGAAATGAAATAACTGAACATAAGCATCTGACGACCCTTCTGTGACTCCTACATAATGAAGCTCAGAGGTAAACATTCATATAAGTCTGAGAAAAGCACTATGGGTTGTTTAAGGTGTGTCCTTCTAATACCTTAATCATCCCCTTACGCTCCTCTAGTAATGCTGTCTACAATCTGGCCTCCAGTTACAATCTGTGACATCACTCCTTTCCATCTATGGCCATTGCTTCCTCACCTGTTCTTGTTTCATTCATGGTTAAGATTATTTTTATCACTCCATGGTGGCTTTTCTTCCTAAGTTCCCAGATGATTAAGCATGAGTTGAATTGAGTGTTTATAAATGTTATTCCCACCAAACAGGGATGATCATATTGGGCTGCCTATTTTGTCTAAGCCTGTTGCTCTTTTTTTTTTTTTTTTCCGAACTGGGTTAGTGTTAAAGGAATAGTTCAAAAAGTCATCGTGTTCCAAACCTGTATTACTTTCTTCTCTCAAACAAGAGGAGGCTTCTTCAGAAGTATAATGAAATTAGTTTAAATGACTACTACACTGCACTATATTTCATATTCTGAAGCTGTGTTATACCTTTGTGTAACGAACTTTGTCATTAAATCTTGATTTACCAAATTTAAGTAGTTTAAGTCATTATTTTTAAACAAAATGTTCACTCCAGTGAATCAAACTCAAGAATAAATGTAAGTTTTGACACAATTGTCATTTATGGGTGAACTATCTCTTTACATCTGGTGATAGATTATATTTAATGACCAGAGATGGTAGACAGCAAATCGTTTTTTTTTTCCTAATACATTCAAATCTCAAGAAAATGACAAGAAAAAAATAAACTTTAACTAACTAAATAAGCATAACAAAAAAGATAACCTTTCCTTTTTCTCTTTTTTTTTTTTTTTTAGCCGAGCAAACTGTGTTAAAGGGATAGTTCAAAAAGTCATCGTGTTCCAAACCTGTATTACTTTCTTCTCTCAAACAAGAGGAGGCTTCTTCAGAAGTATAATGAAATTAGTTTAAATGACTACTACACTGCACTATATTTCATATTCTGAAGCTGTGTTATACCTTTGTGTAACGAACAGTCATTAAATCTTGATTTACCAAATTGAAGTAGTTTAAGTCATTATTTTTTAACAAAATGTTCACTCCAGTGAATCAAACTCAAGAATAAATGTAAGTTTTGACACAATTGTCATTTATGGGTGAACTATGTCTTTACATCTGGTGATAGATTATATTTAATGACCAGAGATGGTAGACAGCAAATCGTTTTTTTTTTCCTAATACATTCAAATCTCAAGAAAATGACAAGAAAAAAATAAACTTTAACTAACTAAATAAGCATAACAAAAAAGATAACCTTTCAATACATCTCCATGTACAAATAAAATATTACCTTCCTTAACTAGTGTCTACAAAGTTTATACAAGAGGAGTCATCATGGTTTTCTAAGTCGTAAAAACTTTCCAAATTGTCAAAAAAATGTTGAGTTTTAAAATATGTAATCTTTTCTCTAGAAGACAAAAAGGTCATCCCATTCATCGCATTATTACAGTTGTTAATGCATCAGGATATGTGCATATTTTATCTGACAACTGTACTTTTTCTCTTTTTTTTTTTTTTTTAGCCGAGCAAACTGTGTTAAAGGGATAGTTCAAAAAGTCATCGTGTTCCAAACCTGTATTACTTTCTTCTCTCAAACAAGAGGAGGCTTCTTCAGAAGTATAATGAAATTAGTTTAAATGACTACTACACTGCACTATATTTCATATTCTGAAGCTGTGTTATACCTTTGTGTAACGAACTTTGTCATTAAATCTTGATTTACCAAATTTAAGTAGTTTAAGTCATTATTTTTAAACAAAATGTTCACTCCAGTGAATCAAACTCAAGAATAAATGTAAGTTTTGACACAATTGTCATTTATGGGTGAACTATCTCTTTACATCTGGTGATAGATTATATTTAATGACCAGAGATGGTAGACAGCAAATCGTTTTTTTTTTCTAATACATTCAAATCTCAAGAAAATGACAAGAAAAAAATAAACTTTAACTAACTAAATAAGCATAACAAAAAAGATAACCTTTCAATACATCTCCATGTACAAATAAAATATTACCTTCCTTAACTAGTGTCTACAAAGTTTATACAAGAGGAGTCATCATGGTTTTCTAAGTCGTAAAAACTTTCCAAATTGTCAAAAAAATGTTGAGTTTTAAAATATGTAATCTTTTCTCTAGAAGACAAAAAGGTCATCCCATTCATCGCATTATTACAGTTGTTAATGCATCAGGATATGTGCATATTTTATCTGACAACTGTAATTCAATGCTAATCAGTGTTAGGATCAATTGTATAATGGAATAAAAGCAAATAAAAGACCTTCAAAACAGATGATCTATGAAGATAGTGCTGTTGATGAGTGAGTGGTCTGTCCCGTCATGTGCTCCGGTACTCCAGGTTAAATGTTTTCCATTGTGCTTGCGTTTCCAGTGTTCTTCCGTCAGTGGTTAACTAAACTGCTTACTCTGACTGTTCAATAAGACTTATGTATTGGCAGTATACTAGGGACTCATTTATTAATGACTGACATTGTAACCCCATCCTTGTTATCAGCAGAGCTGTCAAATCTGATTTATGAGCTTCATAATTAACATGTTGATAGATTTCTGTCACAGTTAAAGAGTAATAAATGGTTACATTATTGAAAGTAATGAACATATAGAAGTACTTTATATATGCTTGAGTGATTGTGAAATGATACTTTTAGCTGTTAAAATTCACAGTGATGACCTTGGAGACACCAGTTGAAGTTGCTTAACAATTCATGGTTATGTGAGCAGGGTGTACTAATTATCTTTGGCTTGTAAATGTCACATTTGGCATGGCCTCAAAGTCTGAGCTGCAGATGCCGCTGCCTTTGAAGTTGGCCTTCATTTTATCACTGGTAGGAACATCAGCCCGTATAAATAAAATTACTTTAACAGTTCTTTATACTGGTTACCACTGGTTCCTCCGAGTTAAGAGCAAAAGAATGCAGGAGCCATAATGGGCCCTTGCTGAACCTTAGAATGAACAATTCCACATGCAGCCACCAATCTTTGTAATTTTCATTAGTTGGACAGTTGCAGTTGTTGGATTCATCACATCTCACCTCATGAAAGTCTTGGCACAGAATGCCAACCGTGCAGTATGTTTAATGAGGTCATGTGCTGGAGCTTGATTTGTGCGCTTTTGTTCATTTGTTTCTTCTTCCTTACCGAGCTTCATTAAAATCCCATCCTGCATGTGTCCAGCTGAAGAACAAGTTCATGAAGAAGCTGCCCAGAGATGCTGAAGCTTCCAATGTCCTCGTTGGAGAAGTGGACTTCCTGGACACTCCTTTTGTGGCCTTTGTCAGGCTGCAGCAGGCTGTCATGTTAGGGGCACTGACTGAAGTGCCTGTGCCCACCAGGTATGCCCTGCTTTCATCCCACAGGGCCAGCAAGGAAAGTAAACATAGTGGCAGAGAGGTGTTCTGGTCAAAAATAGGCTTTTATTAAACCAATAGAAAATATGTGTGTTTAACTTTAGGTGTGCTAATAGTTTGTATCGTCTTCTCCAGGTTTCTGTTCATTCTTCTTGGACCCAAAGGCAAAGCCAAGTCATACCATGAAATTGGTAGAGCAATCGCTACCCTGATGTCTGATGAGGTAGGTAAATGCTAATTTTAGCTAATTGTCTGTCCTATATCACTTCAAAATTTTGATTCGTTCACACAGCAGAACCAGTGTTATTTTAGTTGTATTTATTTATTTTTTATATTTCCGTTTAGCTTTGATTTTATTTCTGTTAGCACTTGTAGCATTTTCAAACGTTTCATTTCATTTCATTTTTTTTTTGTTTTTTTTTAGTTTTTCATTTAGTATTTATATTTTATTTTAGCTTTATTTTAATTAATGAAAACTTTTTTTCGTTTTAGTTTTAGCTAACAATATCAACACTGAACAGAACTGACTCTCTTCATTTCAGGACACATTTTGAGAGATTGGTACACAGGTGGTAGACGATACTTATGGCTATCACCATAATAAAGAATGGGCTTGTCTTTAGTTATTCAATCCTAAAAGCAGTATTCAAGCCGCTCCTGTCTGAACAGGCCAATTCGATCAGGTCAATTCAATAGTCACACCTAACTGTAAATGCAGTTATGTTCTTTTATGATTTTATACAATAAAAAAAAAGGTTTGTGCTTGGATTAGTCATATGTGGAGAGAGTTGGCCAGTAATCACCGTACTCTTATCAAGGTCTTCCATGAAATTGCGTACAAAGCCAAGGACAGACAAGATCTCCTCGCTGGCATTGACGAGTTCTTGGATGAGGTCATTGTCCTTCCTCCTGGAGAATGGGACCCTGCCATTAGGATAGAGCCTCCAAAATCCCTGCCATCCTCAGATAAAAGGTAATGATGTAGAGAGCCCATATCAGCCTGTCACTCTTTCTTTTGCTGAAGCCCCACTCATATCCCACATCAAAGTCTGTCAGTGTTTCCGTTTTGAAATGACTCAAACAATGGTGAGATAGCTTTTCTGAGCCTGTCCCTTTTTGTCAGATATATAGTTTGTCAGTTGTTTAAAGGGTTAAAGTAATTTCAATGCAAGTGGTACAAATCAAATCTTATTGTTACAAATGACAGTAGAAAGTCAGTAAAATGGGTATACAGGTCCTTTTTCATTTTAGTAGCCAAACTCTTTAAGCCATATACAGTGTATTACATAATGTATGTCACACATGGTCTGGAAGTCGTTTCAAAGGACAGTTGGCCAGGCCATCCATTCATTCATTCAGTTTGGAGGAGCAGAGCAGCAGTTAATTAGATGAAGTACGTCACCTCTCTTTGGCTTCAGGTGAAGTGACAGCAGGCTGCCTCCTCATCTTGCCATGTCAGTCTGTACCAGCCCATATTAGCCATAAAGCAGAGAAGTGTGCCCGCAGCAGTCAGTCACCCCAGCATAGCACACAGTGTACACAACACACTACACACAGTAGACCTCATGCATTCATTCATGGGTTGTTGAATATAAACAACAGACTGAACTGGTTCAGCTATCTGTCTGTCTGTCTGTCTGTCTATCTAAAGTCTGTCATGTATTGCTTTTGTTTTATCTATTTTTAAATCTTTTTTCTATCTATCCATATCTATCTATCTGTTTGTCTGTCTATCTTATCATTTTATTTATCAGTCCACCATTTTATCTATCGTTAAGTCGTTTTATCTCTCTGTCTGTCTTTTTATCTGTTGTTTTATCATTTTATCTATTGTTTGATCATTTTATCTGATTGTCTATTATCATATAGTTCTATCCATCGTTCCTAGTTTTTTTTCTTAATGATTATATACCATATGAATGATTGAATGAGTAACATATTAATATATTATGTGAGCTACAGTACCAGTGTATGAGCTTGCAGGGATTTTTTATTGATTGATTGATTTATTTTGTCATCTATCTTTCTCTGTTCTTTCTTTCCTCCCTTATAACGGTAATTTTAGGGCATTAATAACATCAAGTGTCTTGTTCATTTGTTGGTTATCTTGTCCAGAAAGAACATGTATGCTGGAGGGGACAGCACACAGATGAATGGAGACACCCCTCACAGCGGTGGACATGGGGGCGGGGGGCACGCAGTAGGCGATGAGCTGAAGAAGACGGGGAAGTGAGTTAATGTTTGTATAAATTCTTCTGGAGGAACAGATTATGCTGAACCTCTGAACATCATGATTTAGTTCAGATGAAGGTTTGTTTGACTCTTCAAAATGACTAGAATTATCTTAATATTAGACAAACATTGAAGTCAGCATGTGCTCTGTTTACGGAGTACTGACTGTTATCATTAGATTAGATTTTTTTTACTAGTACAGTGCAGTCCCACTGTTGGTTTTAGAAACACCTTGACCTTTGGTCTGTGTATGTGTAGTATTTTGCACTAAATAGATGTTACCAATTAATAATACCAGTAAACCATGCTACTGTTTAAAATATTACTTTTAAATATTTCTAATAAATTAATAATAGTTAATAAAATTAAAATTAATTTATTTTTTTTAGTATTTGGTATATCCCTCTTTTGCTTTCATTACTGGCTCAGAAATAGTATATAATAATATTTCTTGTTCATTGTTCATCATAATATTTAATTTTCAAAATCCTACCATTTTTGTGATTATTGCATGTTTATTTATTTTAATGTTATTATTAGGTTAAAATTATAAATGGAATACCAGATTTTAAGTTTCATTTGAATAGAGAGGAAGGCAGATTAAGATACCATGTAAAAATTTAATGAAAATTACTATAACAATTATGTCATATGTTTTGTTCTTCAGGTTTTGTGGAGGCCTTATTCTTGATGTCAAAAGAAAAGCCCCCTTTTTCTTCAGTGATTTCTATGATGCACTACACATCCAGTCTTTGTCTGCCATTCTTTTCATCTACCTGGGAACAGTAACCAATGCCATCACATTCGGAGGATTGCTGGGCGACGCCACAGAGAACATGCAGGTGAAGATAAAGCTGCAAATCATGAGAAACTTCATGAGTTCACGGATGTGCCATGTGCTCACTGTGCCCGAATCTTTCTAAATAAGTATCAGTCAAACCTTGCCAGGGATTATAGTGCAATTCAATTTTGTCAATCTTTAACTGACACACACTGGGAGCAGTTTCTTCTCTGCCCACCTTTTGAAATGTTACCTCTAGTTTAAAGGTCATGTTAGTAATTTAAAGTTGTTTTAGCTCAGGAAAGCCCTTCAGTATTTGTCAGTTAGCAAAGTGTAATTTAGAGGGATCTTCTATTACGATTTATTTATGTATACATTATAACATTTATAACATTAAATGAGGGAATTCATTAAGATGAGGTCTATAGTGACTGTTCTGAGTAGTACAAAGTAGATCGGACTCTCCTTACTGATTCCATTTACATCAAATGGGATGTCCGGACCATTTTAGCCACCAACTATTGTTTGTTATTTTACTTAACAAAAAGTCTAAATCCTTAATAAAGGTGTACCAAGCAGCATAACAAGATATTTAATTTTAGTCACTGTATTTGATGAAGGTCAAAAGACAGATAAAGTGGTAAATAGTATACCACATTCACAGACATTCCCATCCGGATGGGATTAGATTTCTCAGAGGTTGCCTGAGTTATTTTTACTAAGATTGTGTGAGGAAAACACACACGTTATTGATTCAGACGGGATTTAAATTGCGAAGCAAGACTGTAACATGAAGTCACTTGTCTCTTCAGTGGGAGTTCACTACAACAGTTTTCATAAGCACTATGGGATTAGTTTTCCAAACAGTGTTTGGATTTCAGTTATTAACAGTGCACGCCTGTGATTTCATGTATTGATTTGGACTGGACTAGTTAATAATGAGGGTGGGAGTCTGTTGTCTGGATATTGGCATTATGGAAGGCCATGTGCAACACTTAATTAAATTTATGGGTAATAAAATCTATTTTTTGAAAATGATATACATCATTAAGGGAAGTAATTCATTAGGTTTCAATTCTGAGCCATTTCTGCGAGTGAGGTCTTTAGATTACATTTCTCAGAGTACCGTGGATTTAGCTGAAAAACTACAGTTAATTTGCTTTGTAATTTTTTACAGAGGTTGTGTGAGAAAAGCACAGATTTGCATGAGATAAAACAAGGTGAACAAGGAAAACTAGTCTCGTATGAACAGGGCTTTAAACACACTTTAACAGACTTTCTTTCCAGGGAACGTGATTGTGACTGAGCCTCAGTTGGGTTTTTCCCTAACCCTTTGGCTCTTTTTCATTGTGAGTCGTGTGAAGGGTGTGCTGGAGAGCTTTCTGGGTACAGCGGTGTCTGGAGCCATCTTCTGTCTCTTGGCTGGGCAGCCTCTGATCATCCTCAGCAGTACGGGGCCAGTGCTGGTGTTTGAAAGGCTGCTCTTTAACTTCAGCAGGTGCGTCATTGTCTTTGTTCAGAATGTGTCATCACAAACTAACTACTGCATATACTGACTATTTAGCAGTTAACTGAAACTTAGATTCTGTAAATAAAGCTTACTGAAGTGTTCAGTACATACTGATTTCCAGCGCTGGTCATAGATACACCATTCAAACGTTATGGGTCAGTACAATAATTTTGTTTGTTTAAGAAATGAGTACTTGTATTCACGAAGGATGCATTAAATTTATCAAACGTCACAGTAAGGACTACCATATTACTAAATAATTATTTTAAATAAATGCTTTTGATCTTTCTATTCATCAGAGTATCCTGAAAAATATCTATTACAGTTTCCACAAAAAATATTAAGCATCACAACTTTTTTAACATTGACAATAATAAGATGTTTCTTGAGCACCAAATCAGCATATTAGAATGATTTTTGAAGGATCATGTGACACTGAAGACTGGGAAAATGGCTGCTGAAAATTCAGCTTTGCCGTCACAGGAATGAATTACATTTGAAAATATATCAAAATAGAAAACAAGTTATTTTAAATTGTAATAAAATTTCGCAATATTACTGTTTTCACTATATTTTTGATTAAATAAATGCAGACTTGGTGAGCATAAGAGACTTCTTTCAAAAACACTAAAAATTTACCCCACCCATACTTTTGAATGGTAGTATGCTTTTTATTGCTGTATGATTTGAAAATTGGAGGGACATGAGTTCATTTTCTGTTCATACTGTCCTCCACAGGGATCATGATTTTGACTACCTAGAGTTCCGTCTTTGGATCGGTCTGTGGTCGGCCTTCTTCTGTCTAGTCCTGGTGGCCACTGACGCCAGTTTCCTGGTGCAGTATTTCACCCGATTTACAGAAGAGGGCTTCTCCTCGCTCATCAGCTTCATCTTCATCTATGACGCCTTCAAGAAGATGCTGAAGTTGGCCCATTATTACCCGATCAACTCAGACTATAAAATGGATTACGTCACACAGTATGACTGCATGTGTATGGCACCCACTGATGGTAAGACCTGGTACATCTCTTTCTCTGATGTTTTCTTGTTTTGAAGTTTTAGATACTAAACCTTCATTCATTGCAGGTTTGTAAACTTACCTGAATTTTTACTTTCATTTTAAATTGTGAATGGCCTTCCTAAGTCTCTCCGACATGTCCACACCAGATGCAAGAAACGATGAGTGCTGCCCGAACAGGAAAAAAAGATTACTGATGCATATGTAGCATTACTTTGCTCAGTGAAGCAGATATGATGTAGCACAAAGTGACCTTTTTCCCCTTGCTTGGGATCCAAAATGTGCTACTTTGAGTTCAAGTGGAGTTACCATACTTTCATTCCTCTTCTTGACTACATGGTGTTTAAATTTCTCATATTCTTCAGTCTATTAACCTTTAGCAAAAGAGTTTTGAATCTCCCTGGGTCTCTCGCGAGAAGTGAATCACACTTGTTCTGTGTTGCAAGGCATGTGATTGGCTGTTAGCCACTGATGTCACACATTTATGTGCACACGCTCCACAAACTCAGGATCAAAGCCTGAGTTGACAAAGAAAGTTGATGATCAGCATCATGGCACCAACAAAGCCGGATTGGAGTGGTTTGGTTTTGTCAACTCGAAACTAATCCTGTAACTCTGAATTTGTTCAACTTACCATCATGGTACAGGCCCCAGGTCTAATGTTGCTTTTCGAGTTTACAAGTATAAAGGTGCTGTCACATTTACTGTTGTATGAAGAATTTTTACTGTCAAAATCCATTCGTTTTAATTGGAATCCACCCAATCAGGAATTTAACCAGGGCAAAATATTTCATTTTGCAGGTTTCTGAAAGGTTCCAAGCTGGTCATGTGAATTCGCCATGCTGACCAACAGAAAGCTGTTTGGTTTGAAAGTGACTTCTGTGTGAGCTGTGCTTCATGCATCGCCACACAGAAATTTCGCTAATGTGATGCCACCTTAAAGGGGTGGTCACATGCAGTTTATGTTCCACTGACTTTTTCATATGCATGCAAATTGATGAACTCTGCCTTGTGAATTCATATCACGTAAAGACGTGACTAACAGAAGATTGAAAACTTTAAATCTGCAGGATTGTGCAGTAAAGTGGAGTAGACTGAATATATTTATATTTTGAATGTTACATGTTGAATTTTAATGTAATTTGTTAAAAAAAAAAAAGATGCTGCAGAGTGTGACATATTACAACCGTTGCAATGTCTGTAGAAAATTTTGCTCGCTCAAAGTCTATTGTGACAGCGGCTTCAGTCAAGTCAATTTATTAGCAACTTAAGTGTAACTTGAGTTTCCATCTCTGACGCTATAAAAAGAAGACTGCAAGAACAGGAATGGATACAGTCTACAGTCATCCGCTTTTTTTTTTTTTTTTTCATGCAG